TTTTCATCACAGGTAATAATCCGATCGTAAAACGGCTCTCGATGAAATCGGGTTAGTAGTGACGAGCATACGTTCAATCGATCCAGCTTATTTCGTGCGGTATCCACTTATCCATTTTTTTCACCTTGTCAATTTCAGAAAGGTGTCGCATTATCGTTATATGGTCAACTTTCATACTGATAACAAGTTCTCTCGTGGATACAGTTGGATTCACTTTCACCAATGCCTTCACATCATCATTTCTCATGATCGTTTTGGGTCTTTCTCACGGTTCGTTTTATAGTGAAAAATCACCAGATCGAAATTTTTCAAACCAATGCTGCACTTTTTGATTGTTAATTGTATCCTCCCCAAAACGCCATGTTTATGTTTCATGCAGCTTTTGCAGCATTATTATCAAGTTTCTACTCATACAAGAAAATGACACAAATTTCAGTACAAAATTCAAAAGAAATAACAAGAAGGAACACTTTAGAGAAAATCTCCTATGTTAAAATGTTACTCTGGCAATGGACAGTACAACTATAAAAGAGGTTATGTCAAAAACAAAAGCCTAACGAAAACAGGGAGAGAAACGTTTGCATGTAAAAAAAGAAACAACATTTTATATGTACCAACCTAATATTATTATTTATCATCATTTCCATCTTGAATTTAACATCGCATGAAGCATCTTGGTAATATTTTATTATGTATAAGTATTTGTACTAATCATCAATAAAAAAAGACTAACCTAAAAATGAATTGACCTCAACTCTACACGTGGCATCGTTTCGTTACGAAAATGAAAAGTAGATTTAAGCGTATTAGGATCAAGTTCGTTTTGCAAGTGAATGTAATTCGAGAGAAAGATTGATTTAAGTCTCTTCGATTATACCATACCATACACGATTATTTACACTGGTCTCTCTTGCATTTTCTCGCTTGCAGCAGTAACAGTAGCACCACGGTAACAGCAATAAGAGTTAAATATTACGTAAGATTGTAGAAAGCCTTTAAACATCCAACTCGTGAAAGTGCCACGTTTATCGTTTGAATTCCATTGATCTTATACGCGTTTTTTTTGATGAGATCGAATTGTATTTTAATGTAGTCAAACGTTAAATTAATATGTATGATCAATTAAATACCATTTTTATTTAACTTTCAATTATTTTCTTAATTTTTTTTTTAACATACAATTAAGGTGAACTAAAAATTCTTACCTTTATTATGTTATAAACTGTATAACGGATTGTTTATATAAAATTTAGTTAATTAAAACAACCACACAGGATCATTTAATTCATCCTAATGTTAAAATATTGAAGAAAGTAATTTTTTTTGTGCGTTTCTACTTTTAACTTGTCAATACATTTTTCAAGCAACGTTGCAATATGAATTTGCTTCCATTAGCGGGTTAATTATGGCACGGTGATGCATAAATAACGATAGTACGGGATATCGATTATCGAAGATCAATCTTAAAAAGATTATTAAGTTGAGAAAAGGAAACATAAATATCTATGGTAGATATATCGTAATAGTTTTCGATCGTTAAAGAAAATGGGTTAATCGAATATTATTCTTTAACCTTGGACTATTACCTTATTGCGTGTCATACTTACATTAGACTAATTTTCTTATTTTATAGTATAATAATCGTAGATATTTATTATTCAAGTCTTCCAATCAAATAGAATATTTCTATAAAATAAATTCGTTGTTGGATACAAGAATATTTAATCGAAAAGATAAATTGAGAAATTGTTTTAATAAAAAAAAAAAAGGATCGTTTGTATATTTTTAGTTTTAAATTTCTATCTGAGTAGAAATTTAATAATTCAGCTTTTTTTTTTTTATTGTAATAATACGTTGAACAAAAAAATTGGATTATCAAAGTTTTAAAATTGTCTCCAACAAGTGGAAAATATTTCAATCGAAATTTTATTCATCCAATCATCTGGTGAAAGTAACTCGTACATTTACAATGAAAGGTAATTTTGCGAATTGAGATGCTGGGATTTTATCTCTCTCTCTCTCTTTCTCTCTCTCTCTCTCTCTCTCTCTCTCTCAGGTAACACTTCTAATTTGGTTTCCATCTGTTTCTCCGCAACGATGCATAGGATACGAGAAATTTACTGTATAACGTAAATTGCATCTTACCGGATCTTTCTTGAGACTCTCCCAAGAGAATGAAAGAGAGTGAGAAAGAGAAGAGGAGATTGGGTGGGGGATTTAAACAGTTGAATCCAAGGAAAATCTAATACAAGTATGAAACAAACACTTTCGGAGAATATTAATGAAAATCTTTTGCCATTTTTCAATGATTTAAACAATTTATTACTTTTTACAAATTACAAAAATTCATTTCATCACAAAAATGTATTTATTCATTATTTTTCAACGGTATAAACAAATTTATCATATCGAGAGTTAAAAGAAATAAAAACAACAAAAAATATACACCGTAAATACTCGTTGAATTTAAAATCAAATTTTATTTACAGCTTGAAATATTCATTTCGTTTTTTTAAACAAATTTGTCATACCTTTTATAAAATGATTACACAATATTTGAAAATGTGAAAACATTGATTTTTACAATTAATTCATGATATCGAATTATTTGAAATGTGACACTGGGTATATGGCGTGGTTTATACAAAAAATATAAGAAAAATGCATTCGTCTTTCGAAATCAACGATTTGCTCTCTTGAAAACAAGAAGTATTCTTACTTTTCGATTTTTCATTCTAGTACTTCCGAGATATAGATAAGAACTAGTTCTAGTAAGTAATTGCGAAGGTCGACTTACAGTAAAACGTTCACCTACCTATCTACCGAGTGAGAGTTTTATTTCAACTTAAAAGGAAATTCATGTTAGTTCAAATATGGTACCATGAATAATTAATTACAAATCATTCGAACAATTTTTACTCGAAATTATTTGTTTACATTTTTTCGAATACTTTGAAGTATTTAATAAAATTCAATTGCAATTGATACCACGAATTATTAATTACAAATCATTCGAATAATTTTTACTTGCAATTTACTTGCAATTTGTTTCAATATTTTCGGATACTTTGAACGATTCAATAAAATTCAATTGCAATTGATACCGGATACTTTGAACGATTTTCGAATCCTTTGAACTATTTAATAAAGTTCAATTGCAATTGATACCACGAATAATTAATTAAAAATCATTCGAATAATTTTTACTTGCAATTGTTTGTTTCAATATTTTCGGATACTTT